CTTTGTAACTTTAAAAGAATGTTGACCAGTTAAACCTTCTGAATTTTTTGAAGAAGAAGTCCTGTATTTCAAACCACTTGTCTCTTATTTAAACATAAGTATTTTATATTTAACACAGTATTATTTAATGCCGGTTGTAATAAAAACCATATTAGGGAAGGTGGTTTCTTGTGGAATAAGATTTAAATTATAAAAAAAAATAACTTCTTTAGGGCTGTATTTATTGTTACTGAAGAGGGGAAAGTTTTTTTAATAAAGTTTTTTTTTAAAAGGGAAGCCATCATCCATAGGCTGATGAGACTCAGTTTTACAAATGTTACAAGTCATAACTCTAACAATTAATTCTCATAAATCTGATATAGAATTAAAATTCTACAGTCACTTAAATGAGATGGGTGGTATAGAAATTTGATAAATAAAAATTGTAATTGGAAACATTCTTGGTCTATATAACTTTATATATTGATTTGTTTCAAACTCAAATTTTGGGTTTATCTACATCCAGAACCTACATTTTAACTTGCTAGGAAATTAAATTTCTAGTATTGATTTTAATGTATTCCAGTTAGGGATTTCTACTGTGCAAACAGGATGTCTTTAATTGAGAAACTTGAATTTTGTTTGTTTTTTTTTAAAACTGGGGTATCAAAATATCATAAGCAATTAATAACAGTTGCTAAAGAGTAGCCTTTATGGTTTTTTTTTCATCTATTTGCATTGCATTACTTATACTTTAGTACTTTTACTTCTATATGCTGACCAAACTTGACAACTTTTAATACTTGTGGACTTCAATTTTTGCATGGCTGGCTGGGGAATTGAAGTCCACAGATCTTCAAAGTTGCCAAGATTGGACACCCCTGCTTTACAGTAGATCTTCTCTTGCTTATATTCTTTACTAAACAAAAACCTGTTCAACAACAACAACAACAACAAAAATAGTTCATTCTCTGTCTACATCAAAGGACCTACATTATTGGGGGGGGGGGGGAAACCAGAAATATTTAACTTTCATTATGGATCTATCTCAAGTAAGTTTTCTCAAGACTTTGGGCATACAATCTATTTTTTTAAAAAAAAAACCCTTTTAATGGAATGGCTTATGTTTTTCTGCTAAAAACATCTCTGTCTGATCTACTTTCCTGTGGTTTTTATTTTTTAAATATATATATATATATGTTGCAATTCCATTTTGGAGTTGGGTAGGAATAAGCAGCAGGACAAAAATAATTACAGAGAGAAGAATGCAAAAGGGAAAACTGCTTCAGAGTCAGCTTTAGTAAGTGTGATGTGACCCTTATCAGCAAAGCAAAGGGTGACATCACCAGGGTGAAATAGTTGTGGGATGAAATCGTTGTGGTTTGTCAGAACGATGACACACAAAAATACCACTGAGTATTGCTGCTTGCTAGAGAGAGGTCTAAATTTCGGCTTTTTGTCCTCCTTTAAAAGTTTCAATTCCCTTTCAAAACAACCCAAACACGAGATCCAAGTCGGGAAATCCTGATCCCGTCTAATCCACACCTAGGAAAGACTCCAGTTCCCATCAGCCGGAGAAAAATTGAATAAGGGAAATTCAAAAGTCTCCAGGAAGAATCCAGATTATGAAAAACACATACTGTTATTTAAGCCAACAAACATAGTTAAAAAGCACCTCTATCTTATATCTACTTATAAAGTAGATGGAAAATGTTTAGGAAACTGGAGAGCGTGACTCTCTGGGCCTCAAAACATACTAACCAGGTTAATTAAATCTGGGTTAATGCAAATGGACCCAGATAGACGCTTTTCCCCCAAAACAGCGGAGTAAGAAGTCAAAAACAGATGTCTATGGAGATTCTCCATCATCCAGGTCATCGTTGTCCCAAAGGTGCTTTTTCAGGAAGCAACTGGACTTTCTTGTTTTTCTTTGGAAGACGTTTCGCTTCTCTTCCAAGAAGCTTCTTCAGTTCTGACTGGATGGTGAGGAAGGGAAGGATTATCCTGCCTACACGAACACAACCCAACTCAGAGAGCACCAAGGACCCCTCCTTGCAACCCTGAGCTACAAAGATTCTCCTTCATTGGAATACAAATCCTTCTGTCCCCCACCCTCCAGGCAGAGCCGAAGAAGCTTCTTGGATGAGAGGCGAAACGTCTTCAATAGGAAAAAAAACCCCCAAAAGTCCAATTGACTCCTGGATAAAGCACCATGGGGACAAGTCAAAACCAGGCCAGGAGAGTTTAAGGTGGCTGCCAACATTTAACAGGGGAGGAAGCCAGAAAAGGGGGAGTGCACTCAC